CTCTGTGCCTGATAGGGGGGAGCTCCCCAGCCCCCTGATCGGCCCTGCTCTGTGTGTGACATGGTGCAGCGCCCCAACCCCCCCATGGGCCCTGCTCTGTGTGGGAAGGGGTGGAGCCGCAACCTCCTCATCGGCCCTGCCCTGAGTGTGATAGGGGAAGGCGCCCCAACCCCCTGATCAGCCCTTCTCTGTGCCTGATAGGGGGGAGCTCCCCAATTCCCTGATTGGCCCTGCTCTGTGTGTGACAGGATGCGGTGCCCCAAACCCCCATGGGCCCTGCTCTGTGTGTGACAGCAGTGACGCCCCAACCCCCTGATCGGCCCTGCTCTGTGGGTGACAGGGGGCGGCACCTCAACCCCCTGATCCGCCCTGCTCTGTGTGTGACAGGGGTTGGTGAGAGACATAAGTAAAATCAGAGTGTCGAGGAAAAATTAAAAGGAAGATATCCTAAAACTTCTAGGAAATCTCCAGCAATGAAGCAAAGAAAAAAAAGACCTCTATTATTCTGTGAGCACCAAACCAAACTGGGTTGGGGTTTCAGACAATTCACTCATATGATTCCAAAGACAGACAGAAATTCCCAGATTGGAGAGGGTGCAGGTCAGGCTGAGGGACCCACCCCCCGTGCATGAATTTTGTGCACCGGGCCCCTAGTCTATATATAAATATATATATTAGCTACCATTTAAAGGTTATTATTCCATCTGAAGAAAAATTTATATTTTCTGGATTAAGATATCTTTCTTGGAGATATTATAATTGGAATCCCTTATAGTGCATAACTTTATACATGAAATAAATTTGCATTTATCACTAATTAAAAAAAAGCGATGCTTTATACAATTTTATATTCTCGAGACGTGCATATAGCAGCACTTTTTTAAAGGCTTCTTCAATTAAAAACAAGCAAATTAATGCATATCTGTTACAAAATCAACAAAGAAACGTCACCTCCAAAACTCTAGAGAAGTATTATGTAAAATCTCTTGTAATAAACATTTACTTGTGGTAAACTTTTATGCTATATTAAAATTATATTATCAATCTTATTAATAATATTTTAGAGTTACACCTAAAAGTAAGAGATTGTTTGAGAAATAATTTTGTCTGATATGTAAGAGATTATGATTTCTTACATCATAGAGAGTTGAGTGTGAGATTTATACCTACACTGAATGAAATTAAAATACATACTTATAAGCACTTATGAATAGTTAGAAAATTAGTCTATTTTGGTTCCTTGGTCAAATTGAAAATATTAAACTTGAATATTCATAAAATAGCATTTATGTAGATAAATTGAATTGGTAAAACTGTATCTTAGCAGTCCCTTGAATAAGAAAGCTTTATGAAAAGTGAATGAGCTAATTTTCACAAATACTTTGTTGACATTATTAGAATCTAGCAAGAATTTTGTATAATGAATACACAATAAATAACTTAGAACAGTGATTTTCAACCTTTTTCATCTCATGGCACACATAAACTAATTCCTAAAATTCTGTGGCACACCAAAAATAAATTTTTTTTGCCAATATGACAAAAAATAGGTATAATTTTGATTCATTCATACCAGATGGATATTGTTGTGTTCGCTATTGTCATTTTTTTTTATTTGACAGAAGTCAGTGCCCCTGACAAAATAGTTAGGTATAACATTTTCTAAAATTTCTTGTGGCACACCATTGGGCCTGCCGTGGCATACCTATTGAAAATCTCCGACATAGAATATAAATTACTCAGTGTTTACTCACAATCCACAAGCCATCAAACTTCATCTGGTCATTGTAGAAATCTATGATTTCCCTTTCCCACCACTCTGCTGTGGAGCGCCTGAAGAAATCTGGAAAAGCGACATGAGCTCTGGAAGCCTGTAAAGATAAGATTTACACCAAGAATTATAAAATCAAAAGAGAGACCATGCGCATCTAAGTCAGACATTTGTCTGTCAGATCCACAAGATGTGGACAAGTGATAAGAAAGGCAACCTGATATCACCTTTAATTCCATAAACATACATGATTTTCCTCCAAGCACCCAGCAGCGATGGAGAGTAAAAGAGAGAGAGAACAGCCTGGGGCTCTTTTATAGATTGTAAAGAAACAGTTCAAAACATACACAAACATATTTCAGCGCTTCTTAGAGTGATAGGGAAGTTTTTACACCTTATCCTTAGAGCCCTAAACAGCAGCTTTGCCATTGCTGTGCATGGTAAGGAGAATTAGAAAATAAGCCATCTACTTTTTCAGGAAAGTATTCAAAATGAATGATTGGTCAAAGTGATCATTAAATCCATGTGTTAAATTTCTTTTAGACATATAATTAATGAATGCAAAACTTACATTAACAGCTTCATCTTCAGTCAGACTTTCATTTATCGTTATATTAGGCAAATCTGGCCAAACCTACAAAAAAAGAGAGAAAAAATTGTAAAACAGTTTAAAATAACTTCAGTATGATATGACTGTGTTGTAAATAAATTATAATAGAGTTTAAGAGGCTTATTATAGACTCAAGATTCCAGATCATTAATTCTTTCATTTATCTTTTTCAGTTTTTGTTTTGCTATATGTGCTATTTCCAAACTATTCCCATTTCCCATATTAATCTCTAGTATAATATGGTAAATAAGAAATAAAAAGCCAACTGTAGCAGTAGGTAGTGATTTGGAAACAATTCATGAAACCAAAGGTCTGGTGAAGCAATAATATGAAAACCATATACTAAATTTAATTTAATGTAGTATATTAAAACTGTTTCTATAATTATTCCAGGATTAAAATGTAAAAATAATAAATATATATTTATGTAAAAGTAATGAAGATCTGAGTTGGATGATGTCATGCTGAGGCAAATATCTTTTTGGGTTCACAGTTAGTACTAAATCCCATTCTCCCTTCCCTCCACCTCCAAGACTACCCCTGCCCCGGCCTCCTTCTTAACAATGTTTTCCTCCACCTCAACCACAAACACGCAAAATCGAGACCCAATTCAATCACGCTGAATATCTGAGAATTTGAGTCTACGTTGCAGAAACTAGGAAGTCCCATATAAAAAATGTAAATTATTCTCAAAGGACTAATTACCTATGAAGGATTTGTTACTGAAAGTGGAAAAATAGATTAGAGATTAGAAGCATACAAAAAAAGTACAGAAATATAGAGTGATAAGAGAGCGGGTAGAACAAAATCCCTTTTTATGTCCAATATGTCATCCTCTATACTGGAATGTTTCTTGAAGTATGATTTTTCACTAAGTGTATCATAGGGTTTTTTCCCCATTTTATTTTAACCTTTAATTTTGAAATTATTTTCAAATTTACATAAAAGCTGCAAAAATTATACCTAGAGATTTTCTATACCCTTCATCCTGCTTCCCCTAATGTTCACATATTTATAACTACCATGCAATGATCAAAACAAAGAGGTTAATATCAATATAATACTATTAACTAATCTACAGGCAATTTTTAATTTCACCACTTTTATCACTGATGTGGTCCAAGATCCAAAAAGGATCTCATAAGGCATTTAATTATCTCTCCCACCATGGAATTTTGTATATCTTTTTCATTCTAGTAATGACTAGTGAATATTTTTTCTTCTCTCTTTTATATGTAAGCCAAATCAGGATATTTTCTAAAATATATACATAACCAGGTCTGAATATTATTGTTTAAATGCAATATAGTGAATTATATTCCTTGTTCAAATTAGAAATATGAAAATAGCTCTTAAAAAACATTGCTTATTTTATTAATGAAATGTTTTTAAAAGAAGTGCATACATTTAATTGACTCTTGCAATATAGAATAATAAATTGCCATGTTATTAATGGTAGTTTTGTAATAAAAAATAAAGTAACAAGAAATACAATTTAAAAATGAAATAAATAGTATTTGGAAATATAACTTATATGACTTCTTTCTCTGTTTCTAATAATTTGGATTAAACTCAACAGTATATATACTTTCCTTTATTAGCTATTAAACTATTACATTCCACACAATACATATATTTCTCTAACATGTTTTTAACAGTGTTTTAATTCAGTAGAAACATTCAATGAAATAGCATGTTTTACATATTTTATTTCAAGGTCAATTCAGTACCTTTGCCCAACAGATATCATTGGTATTAGGCCATTTGATAAAGACATCTTTTTCCTGTCCTCTTGTAAATGCAGGGTAAGGCTTCGTTTCATTTCCTGAAATTGCTGGATCCTAAATTGAAATGAAATACAAATCCCATTACTATGGAATAAAACCAGGGCCTCTTGGGTAGTTGTTATGAAACATTGGAATTTTCTATTACCATATTATCATTATACTGTGCTCTCATAGACATGGACTAAGAAATTGACTGATGATATAAACTTTATTGTTCTAGCTATGTTCTCTTCTAAATTCCTTAGGAAAAAAAAGTAAGAACTTTGAGAATATATTTGCTACGATTTTAAGCAAGATTACTAGAGTTTTTCTTTTGTCTTTATTTTCCCAGAGGGATTTCTGGCCGCTTAGCATACTTCTTGTGAGATATGGATAAAATTTGCTCCCCACTGAATCACTAAGTTGAAGGCAAAATTTCAAATATGAGAAAAGTAAGATGCAGTCCTAGAGAATGATTTGGAAGATGTATAGGAAGAAAAAAAAAACATCATCACTTTGAGATAGCTTCTATACATTGAGGCCAGTTTACAGCACGAGTGATTACTAAAAACCAGCTAGCTTTTGACTCCCAGCTTTAGTCTTAGGTCTCTAAAGATATACCAAGTATTAGGTATTCTGTAGCAGCCCATGTACATAAAATGAAGTGTTAAAGGAAGAAAGTTGTAGATTTGGGAGTAGAATCAAACTTATATAATTCCTATTTTGAAACACCTCCCATATCCCTATATCTAGGAGAAAAAATCTTAATAAAAGAAAGGTAATAAGACTCAGAAAAAATATAAACTATAAATACAGACCAGGATAATGATGTATCTCATTCCTTCACTTCTTATTTTGTCAACAAACTGAGGAAGGTCACGGAAGTCTTCACCGATTGTGAAGTCTAGTTGCCTTTCCATGTAATCAATGTCTGTGTATTGTACATCCTGAAAAATATGAGAATTGCGGTAGTGGAGCAAGAATCACAAGTGTGAGTGTATCACATTTTATCATACTTATGAAAACAATACCAATACAAAAGTTTCAGTGCCTCTTCACTCGATTAGAAAGAGAATCAATAAGGTAATGCAACACTCAGGAATAAAAGTATTATGTAAGGAGGCCAAATATTCTACGAACAAGGTCACATAAATGTTTTGTTTTGTTAACAGTCCATTTCATAATTTTGACTTAGAAGTCAAAATTCTTTCAAATCAGTATCTTTTATCATGTAATTCCCAGAGGAAACAGGAAGGCACAGAAGTAAAGGATTTATGACATTATAAAATTATGTTAAATGGCAATTTGGAATTTTGTACAATGTATACAGAAATAGGCATTGCACTATTTCTGGAAAAATAATGCAAATATAGGGTAATTTCAAATAATTCTAATATTTCCCAAGAGGAAGAAAGAGTTACTAGTAAATCCATTAAATTGTGTAAGATTTTTTTTTCTTTTTTTAATCAACAAAGTCAATTCTGAAATAATAGCCCAAGCTAATATAAGCAAAACAATGTCTTGAAATAGGTATTTGCAGATATGTTTAAACTAATAAATGTTTGAATGTTATCATGAAATGTTTAATTAGGCCTAAATAACAAATTTGTTAATTATTTTCTGTTAATAGAAATTAGCTTGATTTTCTTCTAGTTGCTATAAAATATATGGCAAATATAGTGGATGACCCTTTTTATTAAAAAAAATGGGAAAAATCTCCTTTTCTTTAAAAAAAATACCACTTGCACATTTCTATCTCATCCATTATATAGCTAATATCCCCATTATAATATGTTCAGGAACCAGATATTGAATTGTATTATATGCACTCATGTCTTATAATAAGGTCCTTCTCATTCTTCTTAGAATGAGTCCTTATATACAAATAGCACTCTAGGTTTCCATGCTTACGTGTTACCATGAGATCTCCAGGATTCCTTACCACTAAAATATAAAATTACAGGGACTTATTATTTCTGGATACTTAGGAATATTTATTTTCCCAAACATTGAGAGATAAGGATATTCTGCCAGCCCTCTAATTCTGTATTCTAACATTACAAGTATCATCTATTCCAGGGCAAAAAGCACAGTTTTACCTCCAATTTCTTCCCCGTAATTTCTCACATTGGTTGATGGAATAATTGTGTAGACCCTTCCTCTCATCTAAAGAGAATATGGGGAATGTGTCTGACTATCTATGCCACCCAATGTTGATGAGAGAGATACAAATGCACAGTGATTTGTTTAATACAACTCTGGGGCATGGAATAGGAGGGGGAAAAAAAAGAAATGATATTATTACTTTTCCTTTATCCTAATAAATATTCCTAATAAAGATTTTACATTTTATAAAAATGTTATTTCCAATTTATTAGGTGCTCCTAAAAACTAAGCCTTGATTATTGCCAAATGCTAAATATAATTTCAAAGCACATGTGTTCATTTCATTCTGATTTTCTACAAGACATATTTAACACAGTCTTAAAAGTTTATGTACATACATAGGGGATCTGAGCAGCTGTCATGTTTTCATATACTTCCTGAACCTCTGAAGTATTTTTGTAGCCATAACGACATAATTGGAATCCCAAAGCCCAATAAGGTGGCATGACTGGTCGGCCAATTACCTTTAAAAACAAAAATTATTTGTGAACTAAGAGAATTACTTATGGAGAGAAATTTATGTGTTTGTTTTTTTTTTCTAAAAACAAACTCAATCATACTTCATGGAATTGCTTTGTTGCAACTTCTGGAGTTGGGCCCAAAAACATGTAAAAGTCCAAGATTCCTCCAATTGTGCGGTAAGTTAGAGCAGGAGTTGGCTGAAATGTCACATCTAGAAATTCAAAACATGATTACATTGTTATCTATATACAAAATATTATTTATTAAAAGTCACATAACAGAGCCTGAGTAGGTGCGCAAGCTCACAACACTCCACATGAGAAATCTTAAATATGATGGTTTTACCCATTGCATTGCTGTTAAGAAAGAAAACTCCATGAGCATTGTCCTCATCTTCCAGAGCCATGTGATAGGGATGAAATCCATAGGAATTTAGTTTATACTAAAAAAATAAACATAACATATATTCAGATGATAAGACCATGTAAAGTTTGTTGATGTAATATTTAAATTCATTATAAGAGTGAGCCTAGGAAGTTAAATGTGACTCCCTTGCACATACAAACTGAATTAACCACATTTCCCTTAGAAATTAATTTTGTTTATTATTAAAACTATGATTGCTTTAGATCATGCAAATAAATATACAGATATGTAACGCCCATGAAACTGTCTCATATTGACATAAAAATCCATTGGGATTAGAGTAATTGGGGTTTTTTTCTACAGATTTTATATGTTAATTATTTTATACAGTTGCATTTCTTTTTCAATAATTTATTTCCATAAAAATGATTAAACTACTCAACCTCTTAAGTAATTAATCTAATCTTGTTTAGGCACAATAAAACTCTAGCTAAAAGATGTAATTAACATTCCCTTTAAGTGAGCATCACATGTGGCACATGGAAATAAGCTAGTATTTTATAAAAAATGTATTTTTTCATGATATGTCTAGAATAATTGAGGAGATAGAAGGGCTAGGCAGTCAGAGATGAGACCGTGGGAGAGGGAGAAGAGTGGGGATAGTTTAGACCAGCGGTTCTCAACCTGTGGATCGCCACCCCTTTGGGGGTCAAACGACCCTTTCACGGGGGTCGCCCAAGACAATCGGAAAACACATATATAATTACATATTGTTTTTGTGATTAATCACTATGCTTTAATTATGTTCAATTTGTAACAGTGAAATTGGGAGTCACCACAATATGAGGAACTGTATTAAAGGGTCGCGGCATTAGGAAGGTTGAGAACCACTGTCCTCGAATAACAGGACCTTGAAGACAGGGACGGGATACAGCTTGTTGACGGCACCACAGAGTCAAACAAAAGGACCTAGAACTGAACCCAGCTCAGGCAACCCAGCTGGGTGGGGAAAGAAGGGCGCCAGTGAGAGATGTGAACTTTAAAATGTATGGATGTTGCTAAGACAGACAGCTTGCAGATAACTAATCACAAGGCAGTGAGGAGTATGACCAATCCTAAGTATGTTAATAAGGCAGAATTCTTTGAAAGGACCAATCAGGAGCTAACAAGGCATGTATCTACCACTAAACAAAAAAAAAGCCCTCTCTCTCTCTCTCTCTCTCTCTCTCTCTCTCTCTCCCTGCCTCTCCTGTGGCAGTGGATGTTCTCCCCTGTGCCCACCTGGCTTATGGCCATGTGGGACTCGACACATGGACTAATGGATTTTAATTAGCTTGGATGCTGAACTACACATGGCTGCAACATGGAACGCAAGCTCTGTACACTGGCCTGCTTTTGGAACCCCGGCAGCACCTTTCGCAGGCCTGGCTTGGGGGACAGGGACTTTGGAACCTGAGACAGAGAAGCTTCATTGGTAACCTGCTTTGGGCCCTCTCTGCTGTTCCATGCTTCGGGGAGTCTGACCTTGTCTCAATAAACTTTGCTTCCACCTACTGTTTTTGTCCACAAACTCAGTTTTCAATTTGGTGAGACAACGAACTCGGACCCGAACACCACATTTTGGTTTCATAATTATAGCTGATATTAGTTCTGCAGTGCATTAAATATTCATGATGTGTATTTAATTAATAAGTTGGAACATTGGGAAAAGTGACATGAGCTTATAAAAACATTTTTTAAAGATGTAACTAGCAGTACGGACTCATAAAAATGCACAACTGCAGCTGTGTGTCATACAGGAAAAAGTTGGCATCAAATCATTATCTAAGAAGTAAAAGAAAAGAAGTTAAAGAGAACTATTCAGTTACTTTCTAAAAGCTGAGAGTAAACATGGATTTGGCAGGGAATACTGAACCTTAATGCTCTTTCTCTACATTTGAGATAATGAATTGGGGCACTACCTCATCTCTCACTGTACTCAATGTTATCCAACTAATCCTCTACTTTTGCCAGCAATTGATGGTGACTTCTTTGTTTGTTTTTCAGAAAGTCATTTTAGCAACTCTGCAGATCTCCAGCGTCTCTGTCATTACTTCAATACCAAAGTACTAGCACAGGCCTACATAGAAGTGGCTGGGATCCTAATCATGGTCTTAGATGCCTCATGAGATAGCTGAAGATTGATACCTACACCAGGGGGTTGGTCTCTTGTGAACATTCCCCAAGTGTTCCAGTTTAGATCTCGCTTAAATGCTGTGTGTTCCACTTCCCCAAAACCATATATATATTCTGATGGCAGGCGAGTAGATATTTGAATGAACTGGTCATTAAAAGTAAATCCAGGTAGGCGAGAATCCCAGCTAAAAACAAAAGAAAACAATTCCATTTCTGTAAACATTTACAAAATAGTATCACAAATAACAATGGTGATTTTTCCTTGGGTGAGCTAAAAATCAATAATATTCTCTCTATATTCTTTATTGTAAGCAGATACCAAATGGTAATAGATAATTATTACAAAATATATTTATTTTGGCTAAGTCAAGGAATACCTCAAATATATTTCACATATTCACAGTGAACCATAATATGATTAATGTGACTATTTCTCTTTATTTTATTTTTAAATATATTTTATTGATTTTTTTTTTTTACAGAGAGGAAAGGAGAGGGATAGAGAGTTAGAAACATTGATGAGAGAAACATCGATCAGCTGCTTTCTGCACACGCCCTACTAGGGATGTGCCCTCAACCAAGGTACATGCCCTTGATCAAAATCAAACCTGGGACCCTTCAGTCCGCAGGCCGATGCTCTATCCACTGAGCCAAACTGGTTAGGGCTATGTTTATCTTGTTTTTAAAAATAAATATATTGCTTTTAAAAATAAAATTAATATGAAGTTATAAATAATATATGATATGGAAGTAACATAGGTCCTAGAAACCTGTTACCTTCAGATAGCCCAGTAATGTTTTTTCTACATATAGAATAAAAAAAATCAATATTTCTACATATAGAATAAAAAGATATCAAAACTATAAGGCATAATTGATATTTTAATTTAAAATTCTCCCTTTTTAATATTTCTAATAATTTTCTTTTTGTATTTATAAAAATCAGTGTTTTAAAAAAATATCCATAAGAAATGTGTTGCAGTGAATGTATTGTTTTTCTAGTCATTTGCAAGAACATAGAGGAGGAAAATAATTAGGATTGGCAGTGTAAGAAAATATAAGTATTACAAAGAGTTTGGGACATTTTTCATTTTTATATTATGAAAAAGTATTTACTAAGTAATAATGATTCTCAAATAATGATAAGTATAATTTTGCACCAGGATTTTTTTTACAAAATGGCTGAGTTTGTTAACCTTTGGAACAAAATCATTCTCATAACTTTTTTTTAAAATACAGATATATTTTTCTTTATTATTTGTATCCATTCTGACAACATGTTGTGAAAACATCTGGTCAACATCTTCTCAGAGATAGCATGGGAAGTTTAAATTACATTAAAGTATCTTTTAATATTTTATAATTCTCTACAAATAGAGAATTTCACACAAAAAAACCAAAACTTTTTTCTTAAATTTATTCATTATGATATAAAAATATCTAGATGCATGTATATTAATTTTCTTTCATTAGTGCCTAGCAGAAATAACATTAACTCAATCAAATTCCAGGACCATTAAACTTTGATTACAAAAGTCTAATAAAATATTTACATAACAAATTTCCAATTACTTATTTTGCTAAAACTCATCATGATTTTCAAGAGGAGTCTTGGCTTGGTTCTCAACTTGCTTTGAAAAATAAGTCTTAATATGTAATAATAAAATCAATCACATCCAAATTGTAAATGACATTTAGGCAATCCTTAATGATAGTCCTATTATGTTCTAATTGTTTAAGTTAAAAATGTTATGCCTTAACCGGTTTGGCTCAATGGATAGAGCATTGGCCTGCGGACTGAAGGGTCCCAGGTTCGATTCCGGTCAAGGGCATGTACTTTGGTTTCGGGCACATCCCCAGTAGGAGGTATGCAGGAGGCAGCTGATCGATGTTTCTCTCTCATTGATGTTTCTAACTCTCAATCCCTCTCACTTCCTCTCTGTAAAAAATCAATAAAATATATTTTTAAAAAATGTTAAAGTAAGTCAACTTATTTGATATGACTAATACCATTTTTAGTATGATGATACTCTAGCACAGTGAAGTCTGTGAAAATAATCATCTTTCTTTTCCCCTCCTAGGATAAAATCAAGATATTGTTCATTTCAAATAATTCAATCACTTACATAACTCTTCCTGTGCTTCTTCGTCGAATCCAGATGCCAAAAGGATTTTCCTGGATTTCAACATCATAAAGTCTATTTTCATAAGTACTTGTTGGCGTGGTTGGAATGTTTAATGGTACTGGAACTTCATATCTCTTATTTTTCGGGTCATAAATCTATTGCAGATAATAATAAAAATAGAAACATTTTGCTCTAGTTTGGTGAGATGGTATTTAAATATTAAAAAAATTAAATGATGGTTCAAACAATAATATATATATATATACACTCACAGGGGAGTTTTACTGAACATTCAAGGAAGAACTAAAACCTACACTCCTCAGACTACTACAAAAAATTCAAGAGGAAGGAACACTTCCAAGCTCATTCTATGAAGCCAGCATCACCCTAATACCAAAACCAGGTAAAGACAACACAATGAAAGAGAATTACAGGCCAATATCCCTCATGAACATAGATGCCAAAATCCTCAACAAAATCTTAGCAAATCAGATCCAGCAGTACATCAGAAAGATCATACACCATGACCAAGTAGGATTTATCCCAGGAATGCAAGGATGGTACAACATCCGTAAATCAATAAACGTAATACATCACATAAACAAATTGAAAGAAAAAAACCACATGGTCATATCAATTGATGCAGAAAAAGCATTCGACAAAATCCAACACCCATTTTTGATAAAAACTCTCAGCAAGGTGGGAATAGAAGGATCATACCTCAACATAATAAAAGCCATATATGACAAACCCACAGCCAACATCATACTCAATGGACAAAAACTAACACCATTTCCCCTAAAAACAGGAACAAGACAGGGATGCCCACTCTCACCACTCCTCTTCAACATAGTCCTGGAAGTATTAGCCAATGCAATTAGATAAGAAGAAGAAATAAAAGGCATCCAAATTGGAAAAGAGGAAGTAAAACTGTCCTTATTTGCAGACGACATGATATTATACATACAAAACCCTAGAGACTCCATCAAAAAACTACTAGACTTAATACATGAATTTGGCAATGTAGCAGGATACAAAATTAACCCCAAGAAATCTGAGGCATTTCTATACACCAATAGTGAACTTTCAGAAAGAGAGATTATAAAAACAATCCCATTTACCATCGCACCAAAAAAATTAAGCTACCTAGGAATAAACTTAACTAAAGAGGTAAAAGACCTCTACTCAGAAAACTACAGGACATTGAAAAAAGAGATAGAGGAAGACATAAAGAGATGGAAGAACATACCATGTTCTTGGATTGGTAGAATCAACATCATTAAAATGTCCATACTACCCAAAGCAATCTATAAATTCAACGCACTTCCCATTAAAATACCAATGGCCTACTTCAAAGATCTAGAACGAACTCTCCAAAAATTCATCTGGAATAAAAAAAGACCCCGAATAGCTGCAGCGATCCTGAGAAAGAACAAAGTAGGTGGGATCTCAATGCCAGATATCAAGCTGTATTACAAAGCCACTGTTCTCAAAACTGCCTGGTACTGGCACAAGAACAGACATATAGATCAGTGGAATAGAATAGAGAGTCCAGAAATTAGCCCGAACCAATATGCTCAATTAATATTTGACAAAGGAGGCAAGAACATACAATGGAGCCAAGATAGTCTCTTCAATAAATGGTGTTGGGAAAATTGGACAGATATATGCAAGAAAATGAAACTAGACCACCAACTTACACCATACACAAGAATAAACTCAAAATGGATAAAGGACTTAAATGTACGACAGGAAACCATAAAAATTCTAGAAGAATCCAAAGGCAACAAAATCTCAGACATATGCCAAAGCAATTTCTTCACTGATACAGCTCCTAGGGCAGTTGAAACTAAAGAGAAAATGAACAAATGGGACTACATCAAAATAAAAAGCTTCTGCACAGCAAAAGAAACCATCAACAAAACAACAAGAAAACCCACTGCGTGGGAAAACATATTTGCCAACGTCATATCTGATAAGGGCCTAATCTCCAAAATTTATAGGGAACTCATACAACTTAACAAAAAGAAGATAAACAATCCAATCAAAAAATGGGCAAAGGATCTAAATAGACACCTTTCAAAAGAGGACATTCAGAAAGCCAAGAGACATATGAAAACATGCTCAAAGTCACTAATCATCCGAGAGATGCAAATCAAAACAACAATGAGGTACCATCTCACACCTGTCAGAATGGCTATCATCAACAAATCAACAAACGACAAGTGCTGGAGAGGATGTGGAGAAAAAGGAACACTTGTGCACTGCTGGTGGGAATGCAGACTGGTGCAGCCACTATGGAAGACAGTATGGAGTTTCCTCAAAAAACTGGAAATGGAACTCCCATTTGACCCTGTGATCCCACTTCTAGGAATATATCCCAAGAAACCAGAAACACCAATCAGAAAGGATATGTGCACCCATATGTTCATAGCAGCACAATTCACCATAGCTAAGATCTGGAAACAGCCTAAGTGCCCATCAGTAGATGAATGGATTAGAAAACTGTGGTACATCTACACGATGGAATACTATGCTGCTGTAAAAAAGAAGGAACTCTTACCATTTGCAACAGCATGGATGGAACTGGAGAGCATTATGCTAAGTGAAATAAGCCAGTCAATGAAGGAAAAATACCACATGATCTCACACATTCATGGATAATAGAGACCATTATAAACTTTTGAACAATAATAGATACAGAGGCAGAGCTGCCTCAAACAGATTGTCAAACTGCAGCGGGAAGGCTGGGGAGGGTTGGGGGGCAGGAGGGAAGGGGGTAAGAGATCAACCGAAGGACTTGTATGCATGCATACAAGCATAACCAATGGACATAAGACAATGGGGGGTAGGGGAGGCCAGGGGATTGTCAAGGGCCGGGGGGGAAAAAAGGACACATATGTAATACCCTTTGTAATACTTATAATATTTTTTTAAAAAGAATAAAAAAAA